AGTAATTAATTTTCTATCCGGTTCAGACCAAGTATTAATTCAAGGTTTTGAAAGTAGCTTGCTTTCTAGTGAGTTCTTTCTTTGTTTTCAGTTCTTCCAAGTTATCTTTTATCTACACTTTATAATTACCATCTACGTTCAATAATTAACTTGCCTGCGATTTTATAAATTTTAACCTTAATTATTTTTCATTTCAAATTCACTCATAAATGAAGCCTAAATAAAATCTAAAATTGTTGTACTCCTTCAGAATCTATTCTACCTTACCATGCTACTGATTCTAAATGGCTTATGTCCACAATAAGGGCAATAGTAATCCCTCTTCTGAATATTGTAGCATAAGATAACAAGGGTAAATAATTAATTGCTTCTCTCTATAAAATAAGATAATTAAATACAGGTACAGGTTCTTGTAAAAAAAAAAAAGAAATTGAGTAGGTATTGTTAACAAACTAACATCATCATTATTCAAGAGAAGGAAATTGGCTCACCAACAAGCTTATTGAGATGGTTACTCTTTCATTTTTTTCGCTTTTTTGAATGACTATCCAGTTATAGGTTGGTACTTTGTTTCTTGTTTCTATTTTTTTTTTTTTTTTTTTTTTTTTTATTTATTTTTTATTTTTTATTTTTTAAGTAATGGCATAATGGAACAAAAATTATATTGAAAAGATATACAAATGATGTGGTTGATTTGAAAATTCAAATCAAAATACCTATAGATGAGCATTTATTTCAAAAATGTCATTATCTAGTTAAGTATTCTATATGAAAAATATGGAAAAATGATTGTTTATTCTAATTTATATATTTATATGTGAAAAATTATTGAGACTGACCTTTAAAATCTTGTAGAGAAGTTCTAACTTTGTAATTCCCCTCCACTTGTTCACACTCACTCATGCAAAGTAATACATTATCTGCCCTTTCCTTATCACACAACCTAGGTGCTAGATTTGAAAATTCAAATCAAAATACCTATAGATGAGCATTTATTTCAAAAATGTCATTATCTAGTTAAGTATTCTATATGAAAAATATGGAAAAATGATTGTTTATTCTAGTTGAATATTCTATGTAGCAAATAATAATTTATATATTTATATGTGAAAAATTATTGAGACTGACCTTTAAAATCTTGTAGAGAAGTTCTAACTTTGTAATTCCCTTCCACCTGTTCACACTCACTCATGCAAAGTAATACATTATCTGCCCTTTCCTTATCACACAACCTAGGTGCTATTTGGCATCACATAATATATTTTTCCCTCAATTTTCAAAGTTTACAATTGGCTTTATGCATCTTTTCTCACATATGAAACTTTATAATTCTGTGTAATTATGTCTTTGAAGTATGTGTTTGGTAATGTTGTCACATAAATCACTGGCCATGACTGTTCCTGTTGGACCAATGTCAACCAGCGAGACACACAAAAAAGTAAAAGAAATAAATAATAAGAATGGGAAAAAAAGTGGGTCCTTTTAATTTCTAAAGGAAGAACATTCTATAAATTATATTGGTAATTCCCAGGGTATACTGGAAGGAGAACAATAAATAGTTGTGAAGCAGCTCTCAAAGAATTCTAGCCAAGGACTTGATGAGTTTAAGAATGAAGTCATCTGTATTGCTAAACTCCAGCACCAAAATCTCGTGAAGCTTCTAGGATGCTGCATTCAAGGAGAAGAGATGTTGATCTATGAATACATGCCCAACAAAAGTCTGCACTTCTTTATTTTTGGTATGGCTTTCTTGAAACTATAATACTTCAATTTTTGGTATAGCACATCTCTTCCACCCTTGGACCAACCAACAATCTTTCTTTCTTTCTTTCTTTCTTTTTTATGGGACCAAAATTATATGTGGTTGTTATTACATGTGCATTTGCATGAACTATGTCTTCTAGAAAAATTGGGATTTTAAAAAAAATTCATGCATCTAATTAGCAAGAGCAAGGACTAAATCAGACCTAAAAAAATCCAGATCGAACCTGAAGCGCATTACTAGAGTGGTCGAAGGGCCTCCACATTATTAATGGGATTGCTCGGGCACTTTTATATCTTCATCAAGATTCCAGACTGAGAATTATTCATAGAGATCTCAAAGCTATATTTTGTTGGATATTGACATGAACCCAAAAATATTTGACTTCGGAGTGGCTAGAAGTTTAGGAGGAAATGAGACACAAGCAAATACAAACATAGTGGTTGGAACACAGTAAGAATCTCCATAACATGTTTAGTCTAATTCACTTATATTGCTTCAAAATCTGGTTATTCATATAGCACTTCTCTGCAGTGGCTACATAGCTCCAGAGTATGCAATGGATGGGCTATTTTCAGTAAAATCTGATGTATTCAGCTTTGGTGTTTTGGTGCTGGAGATTGTGAGTGGGAAGAGAAACAAAGGTTTCTATCATCCAAGTCACCGCCTCAACCTGCTTGGGCATGTAAGTGTACGAAGCTTAAAGCTATTGTTGCATATGTATGTTTTCCAAGAAGTACTATTAATATTGTAATGGATTGTTCAGGCATGAAGACTCTATAAAGAAGGTAGGCCGTTGGAATTGATTGATGAGGCTCTATGGGACTCATGCTACCTAAATGAAGTGTTGCGATCAATCCATGTGGGTCTTTTATGTATGTAACAATGTCCGAAGGATAGGCCAAGCGTGTCATCTGTGGTTCTGAAGTTGGGTAGTGAAGGTGCATTGCCTCAGGTCAAACAGCCTGGCTTCTTTACTGAAAGGAATGTTCACGAGGATGGTTGTTCGTCAAGCAAGGATGAAACAGTTTCGGCCAATGAAATCACCATTACTCTGTTAAATGCTCGATAGAAACATACATTGTGTTGATGTAAACTATTTGCCGCAAAACCTACTAAATAAAATGAAAATCTTTACTGCATTCAAAGACAGTTTAAGTTGTATAAACCAGTTCCCCTTTTAATTTTCACTTGAATTACATCTGGGATCAGTTTGGAAAGTCCTGTAATCATTGGAGTTTAGGTGGATTTAGTTAGATTTTATACCCATCTACAAGGTGGATGCTATGATTAGTCATTGTTTCTTGTTTACGTGGGCTTGCAAAACTTCATTGATTATCATCATAATTAGTAAAATTTTGTGTGATACATATAAAAGATATTTTCTAAATTTTTTGAAACTTCGTTTGTGCAAAAAATAAAAATCATAGGCAATTATAAAATTTTCATTATTTTTATTTCTGAAATTACAGGAAAAAGAAAAGTTGGGCAACTAAAAAACAACATTTAGATAAGATGAGTGTTGCTAAGATGAAGATACTAAGGTAGATGTGTGGCAAGACTAAAAAAGACATAGTTAGGAATGAGTATATTCGTGAACGAGTAGGAGTAGTACTGATAGAAGGTAAGTTGAGAGAGTTGGTTTGATCATATACAATGGAGACACATAAAGACTGTAGTGAAGAGATGTGATACAGTGACGGTAGAGGGAAGTGTTAAGGGAAGAAGCAAATCTAGGTTGGCATAAGTTATTGTAGTAAATAGATATATGAATCTCCTTAATTTGACTAACTAAATGGCCTTTGATAGAGTCGAGTGGAGAAGAAGGATTCATGTAACCGATCCCATTTGATGGGACTTAAGGCTTGGTTTGGTTTGGTTACAAAAAAAAAATGAAAACAATTTTCTCCTCGAAATAGCAATGCCCAACCCAAAACAGGATGTTGTTCCTGCATTGGCAACACAGTTAACACAACGTCGTTTGTTGGATTCATTGGGCCTGCCGATGAAAGGTTTCCACCCTCCTTTTCTTGCTAGTTTCTTGGCAACCAAACTGAAAGGAAAAATGTAGATTGACCGAACAGACTGCAAATTGCAGAAGTGGACGCTTTGATTCCGCACAGACTGCAAATTGTAGAAGTGGATGCTTTGATTCCGCAATTACGGTTTGCCATCCTTTTCTTGAACTCTCAAATATAATTTCTCATAATGTGCTTATGTATGTGTTGACATTTGTGTATGTGTGTGCGCGTACATATATGATGTCTGCTCTCTCTCTCTCTCTCTCTCTCTCAACCATTTTAATTTCTGGAAACCTGTTGTTGATATTGCTAATTAGCCTCATTCCTATAGCTCTGCATTGTCATCAAATATTTAGTTGTCTTTTGCACAATTGATGTTTGTAAAAATATCATGGTATAAAATTGATGTTCAAGAAATCACTGTGAATATGTATTTATATTTGTATGCAATGGAAATTAGTGTGACTTGTCAAGATGTTTTTAACTACAGAATCATAATCACTTATTCATATCTGATGGAAGTGACATTGGTATACCACTAATTTCAAACTGAAATATTACTTAGTTTTGGTATATAGTTATAAGAAATTCTTTATTCTCCTGATCGTTTTTTGTCATTTTAGTTTTATGTAGTTATAAACCCCAAATAACTGGAATCAAGCCTTTGTTCAGGTGATTTGAGCTATGATGTATGTTGTTTTAGTACCAACTTGGTTAATTTCTATGAAGAATGTTCAAGGTTGGTTGAAGTGGAATCTTCTTCTTCTTCTTCTTCTTCTTATTCTTCTTCTTTTTGCTAATGATACTTGGGGGATCTTCTTCCCTAAAAATTTCATTTTTGAACTAGTAGAACACTACCTTGAATTTTCTAGAAGAGCTGTCTTGACAAGGTTGTCTAGATTTGATTTTGGCCCCCTTTACAGGACTTAAGAACTGAAACCATGCCATAAACCAATCACAATGCTAAACTTTTGGCCATGGAACAGTCTTTATGTGAAGTTGGGTACTGGAAATGCTTGTGCTGAGCCAATACTTGATCATTCTTTGCCCTACATTTTAGTTATTGACGCAGTCACGTTATAAATTAGGCTCATCAGAAAATCTAGATGCTTCTCATATCATGTTTTGGTGTTTAATTTACTTGTAGAAAATCCATGGGACTTACTGCAGCTTATTATAGAGGAGAGTGCTTTGATATTTGAAACCAAATTTATAAATAAATAGAAAATTTAAGACTTTTGAGCTCGGTGGTTTTAAGAAATAAAATGAAGTCTACAAAAATTCTGAAGTTGAAATAACATCTATTTCTAAAATCATATTAACAACTGCGATGAATACTCTATCTAGCAGCCAATATTGTTATGGTTACTTCACCATTCGTATAAAAATTTTCACTTCTTGTTGCAGTATCTGCATCAATGGAACTTCTTTCAATGAAGAAACCGGGTTGTTTAGGCTGAGGCAATATTGCTTCCTCATTTCCCAACATGAACGCTACAGATGACATTGCCGGCCTATCTTGTGGGAGTTTCTGAACACATAATAGGCCCACTTGAACACATCTCTGTACTTGAGATTCAACACATGAATCCTTCAAACATGCTTCCATTAGTTCCAAAGCCCTGTCTTCATTCCACAGCAACCATGCCTAAAGTAATTGCAAACCATGCACTTAGTTTATTTATTTTCTTCCCAGAACATATATTTTGTCGTCCTCAAGAAACAGTAGATATGCATCAAGTTACTTAGCCACAAGGATAGATAGATTGATATACACAGATATATCTATAGAGAGAGATAACTATTTTATTGTTTCTAGTACTTACATGCCCTAGAAGATTGTGGTGGTGATCAGGATGATGAAAACCTCTGTTCCTTTTGCCACTCACTATTTCTAGCAAAAGCACATTTAAACTGAATACATCAGATTTCACAGAGAATTTTCCGTCAATTGCGTACTCTGGAGACATATAGCCACTGCAAGAATTTGCAACCATAAAGTCTTCTGAATGATAGAAAATCTTGATTTAATTTTAAGTAAATAGAACTTACTATGTTCCAATGACTCTTTTTGTTTTTGCACAAATTTGTTCTCCTTCGAAAATTCTTGCCAAGCCAAAATCTGAAATTTTTGGAATCAAATCATTGTCTAGCAGAATATTTCTTGCTTTGAGATCCCTATGAATTATTCTTAATCTAGAATCTTGGTGGAGATACAAAAGTCCCCGTGCAATCCCCATAACAATGTCAAACCTCTTTTGCCAAGCCAGTAATGCACTTTTATTCTGATCTGCACATCATTTTGACCCTTTGTAAATTTTAAGATGCATAAGTTAGTGACCATGTAGGAAAGCAATATGCAGGTGACCGAACAAATCCAAAATATGAAGGGTTTAGAGGCACAAACCATAAATAAAATAATTTAAACTTTTGTTGCACATGTACTCATAGATTAACATCTTTTCTTCTCCTTGAATGCAGCATCCAAGAAGCCTGACAAGGTTCCTATGTTGAAGTTTGGCAATTGAGGTAACTTCATTCTTGAACTCGTCTAGACCTTGTCCCGAACCTTTTGACAGCCTTTTCACTGCTATTTCTTGTTCCGTGGACAATTTGCCCTGTAGGTGTCATATATAAGGTGCACAACAATACAAAATGATCTATTCTCAACTACACGACTGAACATATCATATCTTACCTTATAAACAAGACCAAAGCCACCTTTTTCAATCGTATTTGCATCGGAGAAGTTGCTTGTAGTAGCAGCAATAGTTGTGAAATCAAATAAAGGTAATTCCAAGCTTTCTTTCTTCCCGTTTAGAGCTGTTAATAGGGCTAGTCAGGTTAACCTTTTTTTTGGGGGGGAAATGCTTTATAAATGATTTTTATGTAATAGTTTAATGCTTGGGATCTATGATTTAACTCAGAAATGATTATTAGAAGAATGTTTAGTGGATAAGGAATGCTTACCTCGTCTCTTTGGTTTTATCTTCATTATTATGCACCCACATACTGTGCCCAAGGTAAGTATTCCTAAAGTTGCTGATAGCAGTAAGATCTTCACATGTCTTTTCTTATTATTTGAATCATGAATTGAATCTGAAACAGAGAATATCAAGAACTGAAGTACTAGGTATATTCTAAAACAGAGAATACCAAAACGATTCGCGTTCCAAGTAACAAAGTGCAGAAGTATTGAGAAGTTTAGAAGGTTAAGAAAAACCTGGTAGATCGCAGCCATGCACTAACCTATTGCTGAAGCTGGCAAGCGTATGTAGATATCTCGGTCACTATTGTCTTCGGGGCTCTCCCGGGTATCAATCAGATCCCCGGACCACATCAAACAACCACTTCCATCTCCGCTAATGTTTGAATTAGCATAAGCTATACAAGAACAGTTCTTCAAACACTCCCCCTCACATTCCTTGATGCTCATACCTATGTTTAACCGAAACTCCAATAGGTCGAGCAACTTGACCTGTACAACATTCACAAACCCTTCTCCATTCTGGCGATCTAATGGCACGCTTCTTACACATCCACTGGACCAATCAAGAACATCCCATTCTTGTTGGGATTTTGGAATGAACCCCTTCAAACACTCGCATGTAGGTGATTTGTAGATTCTGCAAATACCATTAGGACCACAATATCCATAACGGTCACACAGGTCATTTGGTACCGTGAACATAAGATCCCAAGTGTTTTTTTTGTTTAGTATATAGCGTTGAAGCAACCCCGACTCATTTAGTGTTAATCTTGTAAATGTTGGATATTCATCATCCCATGTGAGGAATGAGGAACTCTCCATGTGAAGCCAACACATTGCCAACTAGCAATACAGCTTGCCAACCCTTGCCAACCGACAATTCACAAAGGTGGACGACCACTTTTGTGAAAGAACAGGCTGGCCATGTGCAAGGCTAGCCAACCTCTCTGCCTTCTCTTGAGTGTATAAATAGAGAGGCTAAGGGGAGAGTTGATACAGTGAGCGAACAACAGTGTGAGAGTGTGTATTGTTTGTAATTCTTCCATTTCTCTCCATATAGTGAAATCCGCTGCCCGTGGACATAGGCAACTTGCCGAACCACGTTAAAACTCTTGTGTTATTGCTTGTTTGTGTTTCCTGGTGTGCCCCCGATCCACAACAATTGGTATCAGAGCCGGAGTGGTGAAAAATTGAATTTTTTCGAAAGTGCCCAGATTTTGAAGTGACTGAAATCCACTTTTGAGCATACCAGAAGGAAGCCCTCTAGAAGAGGAGTCCAGAACAGCAAAGACCAACCCCAGAAAAGGCTACACGCGCTCTCTGAAGATGGAAAGTGACGCCCACTCGCACCACGCGCCCCATGCGCCGACCAGAGGAAGAAAACGAGTGGAACGCACGTGGTGCTGACGTCAAGCTGATGTCATCCCGAGCCGAGCCGAGCCGGCCCGCCGCTGATCAGGCTGAGCGGGCGTCGAGCCACGAAGCCGCGTTCTCGAGCCGTTGACCAGTTCTAAGCCGCGTTGACCACGCTACCAAGCCGAGCCTCTAAGCCGCGCCACGCCAGAAGCCAGAAGGGATAGTGAGACGTTGACCGCGCCGTTGACCAACGAGTCAAGCCGCGCCGCTGTGCTGAGCTGCTGAGCCGCGTCGAGCCGTTGACCGCACCAATTGATCAGCCGAACCGGAGGAATTATCCGGTGCGTCTCAGCCGCACCAGATTCTGTAGATCTGAACCGTGCAAACTGTTTTGGCTTGATCTGAGTCATTCGGAGTCCGTTTTTGACGATCCAATAGTACTTTCCAACTATTTGGAGTATTCCGGACACATCGGTACGGTCAATTTTTTGAATCAGAGTTTCTAAAAAAAAACAATCTAAATGGCAGAATCTACAAAGAGGAGATTAGCCGAGTCTACAAGCAGCCCAGCAGCTACAAACAACTCTAGGTATTGGATCCCGTTGTCCCATGCCAAGTTCGAGGTAGAAAAGTTTGATGGAAGCAGCAACTTCGGCATATGGAGATGCGAAGTTAAAGATATGCTTGTCCATATGAACCTGCACTTCACTCTAGGAGACAAACCAGATGACCTGGACGAGATAGAATGGGAGAAAGTGAATCTCCTGGCCTGCAGTTCCTTTAGACTTTGCCTTGCAAAAGAGGAGAAGTACGCATTCACAGTTTATGATATTGTGAAGAAGCTTTAGAAGGCACTGGAAGACAAGTTCATGACAAAGAGCATTGAGAACCGGCTCTACTTGAAGAAAAGGTTGTTTCGTTTCGACTATAAGAAATGTATTTCGATGAACAAACACCTAAACAATTTCAACAAAATTCTTACCGATTTGAAAAACTTGGATGATCACATTGATGATGAAGATAAAGCACTGTTACTGTTGAATTCCTTGCCTGACACATATGATCATCTCACCACCATTTTACTGTACGGTAAAGAAAAGATTAAGTATGTTGATGTTGCAAACGCCTTGGTAAATAATGAGTTCAGAAGGAATGATAAATCTGCAAACAGGGACTTAGCATCCGAGGCATTGACAGTCAAAGGCAGAACAAATAACAGAAGATATACAGGGCGAGGAAAGTCTCGCTCAAAATCTAGAGGGAATTCAGATAGAAGACGTCTTGCAAAAGACGAGTGTGAATTCCTAAACAATTTCAACAAAATTCTTATCGATTTGAAAAACTTGGGTGATCACATTGATGATGAAGATAAAGCACTGTTACTGTTGAATTCCTTGCCTGACACATATGATCATCTCGCCACCACTTTACTGTATGGTAAAGAAAAGATCAAGTATGTTGATGTTGCAAACGCCTTGGTAAATAATGAGTTCAGAAGGAATGATAAATCTACAAACAGGGACTCAGCATCTGAGGCATTGACAGTCAAAGGCAGAACAAATAACAGAAGATATACAGGGCGAGGAAAGTCTCACTCAAAATCCAGAGGGAATTCAGATAGAAGACGTCTTACAAAAGACGAGTGTGCTGTTTGTTGCCAGAAGGGGCATTGGGCAAAAGATTGTCCAAATAAAGACAAGAAAGAAGAAAAGGTGAACGTTGCATGAGATAGAGATAATGGTGAAGGATCAGCCTTCACAGTTTCATCATATGGCCAGTCTGATGAATGGATTCTAGATTCCGGATGTTCCTACCACATGTGTCCTAACAAACAGTGGTTCTCAGATCTGACAATGGCGGGAAATACACATCAGATCCATTCTTTAAGGTTTGCCAGAATGAAGGGATAGTGAGACATTTCACAATTCCTGGAACACCGCAGCAAAATGGAGTTGCAGAACGCATAAACCGCACTTTGGTGGAGAAAGTCCGGTGTATGCTGACACATTCTGGATTGAGCAAGGCATTTTGGGGCGAGGCATTGAACTATGCTCGTCATCTTGTCAACAGACTACCTACTGCAGCATTAGATGGCAAGACTCCTATGGAGGTATGGTTAGGAGTGCCAGCTACTAATTATAATCAGCTACGTATCTTCGAATGTCCAGCCTATTTTCATGTTACAGAATCTAAGTTGGATCCTAGAGCCAAAAAAGTTGTCTTCTTAGGCTTTAGTGATGGTGTCAAGGGATACAGACTTTGGTGCCCTGAATCAAAGAAAGTTGTCACTAGAAGAGACGTTACCTTTGATGAGTCTACAATGCTAAAGCAACCAAATCCTCAAGAAAATGATGAAGCATTGAAGAAGTCAGTGCAGGTGGAGTTTGAGACTCCAGCAAAGACTAGTCAGCCAATCAACCATCTTGAAGAAGTCTCAGTGGATAGCTCTGAAGAGAGTTCAGATGAAAATGAAGATCCATAGGCCCCACAACAATCAGAACCCATTGCAATCAGGAAACGAAAAGGGTTACTAAGCAACCCGGTTGGATGACCGATATGGTAGCCTATGCACTTTCAATCATTGAAGACAATGTTCCTTGCACTTTCAAAGAAGCCGTGCAGAATGCAGAAAGTGTTAATTGGAATGAGGCTATGGATGAAGAGATCTGGTTACTTCACAAGAACCAGACTTGGGAGTTGGTGCAACTTCCAAAGGGAAAGAAAGCAATTGGGTGAAAGTGGGTTTACACTAAGAAGGAAGGCATCCAAGGCAAAGACAACATTAGATTCAAAGCCAGATTGGTAGCTAAAGGCTATGCTCAGAAGGAAGGAATAGACTACAATGAGGTATTCTCACCTGTTGTGAAGCACACGTCTATTCGCATCTTGTTAGCTTTGGTTGCACAGTTTGATCTCGAGCTCGCCCAACTCGACGTCAAAACTGCCTTCTTACATGGAGATCTTGAAGAGGAGATATACATGTCCCAGCCAGATGGTTTCAAAATTGCTGGAAAAGAGAATTGGGCCTGTAAGCTGAACAAATCGTTGTAACGCTGCGGATTCACTGAAGAGGTTAGAATGGGCAGATTTTGACCCGATTGGACAACCAGATACAGATTGAGATAGATCATTGAAGACCAGAGGAGATCAGGCTTGATCAAATGGCAGATCGAGGGAGATCAGGATTGGTCAGGGGCGATCAGAGGATTGCAGACATGATTATCTCAAGATCAAAGGTCTAGGAAAGTTCTGTCAAAAAGACACTGTCTAAGGAGACTGGTTCTTAAGTGGGACCGGTTGTGACCCCACCAGTCTTTCCTGGGAACTTTCCTGGTTGTTGAGGTGATCGGAGGATCTGGTTCAATCAAAAGAGAAGACCATTCATCGACAGATAGATGATTTGGCAGCCAGTTTAGGCTCAGGGAAATGTTGTGGCTGTTGGAGCTACAGTATATGAGTAGGTACTAGTAGTACGTGGACGTGTAGAACAATAGTTGCAGAGGAGCATACTAAGCGCAAGTATAGAGGTACAAAAGCACGAGTGAGTACGTAAGAGTGTTGTACAAGGTGCAGATATACAGTGCAGAGAAGACGCAAGAAGAGTGTGTAGCAACGGGTTGTTGAAAGTTCACAGGAACTTCTAGACATATAAATTAAGACAGATAAAACGCAAGAGTGCGCGCCAAAGAGTGGTAAGTCTTTTTTTTCACTATGGTGGTTTCTTGAGTTCCATGGCAGTGGAGGATAGAGTTGATGCGGATCACTCAGGCGAGCTCGACGCAGGGAGACCAGAAGCCATGGGTGCGAGCACTATGCAAGGAATTGCATAGCTGACGATGCTTTGACAGATAGAGCTACTGTCAACCATCAATCTACTGGACAGCAAATTAGGGATTGCAAAAGCACAAATAACAAGCGTATGTGAAAATGCTAGGAGGTTGTTCAGAAGTGCAGAGGGCAAAGGCTGATAGTTTAGAGAAAGTGCTCCGAGCAAAGAAAATTGAGGACATTTATGGAATAAACGACGAGTTTTCCATTGCTCCAATGACTGGTCCTGCGAGGTAATGCATGATAGTCAAGGGCATCCCATCAGGGGGTGCAGGACATCCAATCAGGGGGTTTCGGATATCTTGGTTATGCAAAGTTCAAACATAGCAAGTGAAGACATCCGAGATAGAAAGCGTGGAAGAGATCTGTGGAAGACAAGAGCAGAGGCTCTCTCCAAATCAGAGAGTGGTGCGAGTTGAGTTGAGGATGTAGGATTCCCTCCTTCTCTTGTATCTCTGGTGTATTATCTCTAACTTCAGGGGATGCAAGCGTCTTAGTGAAGAGATGAGAACTATGTTGAATTCTAGGCGTGACAAGATTAGCATCAATATGTGCAGTGGATCACCTCACATGGGTTGAGGGGGTGATTTGTTGGATATTCATCATCCCATGTGAGGAATGAGGAACTCTCCATGTGAAGCCAACACATTGCC